GGACCCAGCCGTGGTGCTGACAGCTGGGCTGTGCGACGGCGCAGGCTCGTCTCCCCCATGACACGGAGCTGCGCTGGGCAGCGCTGGTGGAAAACTGCAGCCCCTTAACCCTCCCTCCACTCAGTGGAGGGTTTGCATTGAAAAAAATCCACGTACGCCTGCGCACATGCCCATAGAAATGTAATATATATGCATATACGTGGCGCATTATGTGTAAGGGGCATAAATTTACGCAGACAGATTGCTCTTCGTTTATGCTAACGGGGGTCAGAGTATGCCTAACCCCGAGAGCAGAAGGTGGTGGTGTTTGTAATGGCCTTTTGTTCTCGGAGGAGATCATTCTCTGGGCTGGGCCCCAGGAAAGGCTGGTCCCAGCGCAGATGAACGCTGCCGTTGCTGCCGGGGTTACGTGATGGCAGAGACGTGAAGCTGTTGACCGTGGTCTTCATCCAAAAATTCCAGCTGGATTTTAAACACCTCTAAATCCCGAGGTTTTTTAGTATCTCGGAGATACAGCCCAGGATCTTGAACTGATTGTACAGGAAACCGGCTGAGGAAAGACGCCTTAGACAAAAATCTTAATTCTATACACTTCAGAAATGACTGACGCACTCTGTGTACGGAGGAGCTGGTAATCTGGACTCCAGATCAGTGTTTGCAGTTACGATTTTATATGAGCTATTCTTCTTGCTCCCAGAAATCATTTATGAGGCCAAATAATAGGACAACTGGCTCCTAAAAGAACCTTGATTCCCGAGTTACAGAAACAGAACAACATATTACAGATTTAGTGTTAGTACTTCTCTGGAAAAGCAAAAAGAAATTAAAAAGAAAGAGAACAGTAACCATAAATACCAATTTGGCTCATTCAAGCATTCAAAGCTGGTCACTGTTAACAACCGCCCTGGAAATACAGTCAGCGAGCTCGTGAGAGATGGGGGACGTTTTATGGCCATCGTGTGCTCGGGGAGAGGAGCGAGTCCCATCTCCGTGCTGGGTGCTGCAATCAGAGCGTCACAAATCCTCCAGCATGTGCCTGGGGATGGGGAGGGCAAGCACGTAATCTCCTCGAGGAAGTGTAATGCTGACATTGTTATTTCCAAAGTGCTGTAAACATCGACAGTATTTGATAAACAGGTACAGAGAGCGAAAGGAGATAACGACGGGGCTCCCACCTTGAACCTGTGCCCCAGGTTCAGTTCACTGTAGCACGCCATCTTCTTGTTCAAACCCAGGGACGCGTCGCTCTGCTGTGCTTAAGCTAAACTTCTCTTTTTGCACCCAGTTTTCCACAGCAGACCCTCGCTCGGTCCCAAGCGTGGGACGGCGCTGGGCAGGACCGGGTGTCCCCAGGTAGCTGTGGTGCTCACCCCAGTGCACCCGCCTTTCCCCGCCCGCAGATTCAACTGCGCTGAACAAAAGAACAGGTTGGAAATTGAGCCTGGCAATAAACAGGGTTTAATTTCTTTTGTCTCAGTCCTGGCTTCCCCCCCCTGCCATTCGCATGCTTTTTCTTTCCCCTGGTGTGCGGAAGGGACATGCCTCTGTCCCTCCGCCGAGGGTTTATTCTGGAGGAAACGGTTTAGGTCACCATCACATTTTACAGGGAAGCACAGTTTATAAAACCAGCGGGGCCCGGCGCTCCGAGGAAACATTTTATCAGAGAGCCCCGAACTGACGATTCAATTATTTTTCAATAAAACATCAGGGGAATGCGCAAACAGCTGCTCGCATCCTTCCACCCAGCAAGTCAAACTTCAAGGGGAACAATAGCCGGCGAAAGGGGAGCCATCGCGGAGGCGGCGACAATGGGTTTCCCTACGCGGGGCTTTGTTCGATTCCCCGTCTCAGTTTTGAACTCCCTGCGCCGGAGAAAGGCGCGGGGGTAGGACGGGGAGAGGGGGAAGCAGAGGGGAAGGAGGGTCAGGGGGAGTTAAAGCCTTTTGCAGCCTTTCTCTCCCATTCATGTGGTAATTGGGTGTCAAGCAGAGATCAGTAAGATGGAGCCCGGCCTCTGTGCCCGGGTTAAACTGCAGCAGAAAGAAAGCGGGAGCTGAACCGATGGAGGCCTGAATGTCATCGGGGAGGGAGGGAGGGAGGAAGCGGCTCTCCCCCAGGAGCCCTTCTGCCGGGAGCTGGGCTGGGGAGGCCGCTTCCCATTCAGGGCAGCCCTGAGAGCGGGCAGACAAAACC